AAAGATGTTGGTGTGAGGGGGAGGTGGTGAGGTAATTAAGGTGAAGAAGGTAAAGTATGGGTTGCCTTAGGAGCGGGTGAGGTAATTAAGGTGAAGAAGGTAAAGTAAGGGTTGCCTTAGGAGCGGGTGAGGTAATTAAGGTGAAGAAGGTAAAGTAAGGATTGCCTTAGGAGCGGGTGAATGTTAGGCAAGTGGTGTTTGTTTTCCTATCAGAGACGTGGCCACAGTTATAATCCCTATGACATATTCATGTTCTTCTGTCCGCCATAGACAGGGTTAGAGATCTGGTGAACATATAGTTCAGTGTTTTATTGGACAGTCAACCACACGTGATTCTAGTTCTTAGAAAATGTTAATCTAACCTATATACATAAATATACAGATTTACCTCTGCTCTACATAAACAGTGTTCAATGTGTCTTTTTACACAATGTTTACAAAGGTGAAATGCAATTGGAAGTGGTGTGAGGGTTGTTTAATGTAAGGGAGGGTGGAGTGGGCCGGGAGGCACTGGACCGTCAACACCCCCTCCGAGCCTCGCCCCCTCCTGCACCCCACTCGCCCCCCTCCCCTCCTGCACCCCACTCACCCCTCCCACCTGCAACCCACTCGCCCCCCCTCCTGCACCCACTGTCAGTCCTCCTGCTTCAGTAGTTGTTGGTGCCTGTGTCAGTGCTCGTGTGTTTCTTGGGCTCCTCCCCCGCCAGGTGACTTGTGTTGGGGCGGGGGATCAGGTTGGGGCTGAGAGGAGGTAGAGGCGAGGTGCTGGAAGGAGGTAGAGGGGAGGTGCTGGGAGGAGGTAGAGGTGAGGTGCTGGAAGGTAGTAGAGGTGAGGTGCTGGAAGGTGGTGGAGGTGAGGTGCTGGGAGGAGGTGGAGGTGAGGTGGTGGGAGGAAATAGAGGTGATGGTACGGGTCTTGATAATGGCGTAACACCTGTAATGACACAGGTGCCAAAGTGCCCATGTCCCCTTAGCCACGTGTGGTATAGCAAGCTCCTTCACCCTGGCTCGGCTATACTCTCCCTCCTTGGTCTCCATCCCCTCTCCCTCCTTGGTCTCCATCTTCTCAGATACACATCCGTCTTTATTTTCTATAAAACCTTCACAATTATATGTGTATAAAGTGTCAGTAATGTTTCTTACATGGGGTCCATATCTGTGAGGACGCCGGCGCTCTCAGAGTTTCCTCGGTGTCCATGACGTGTCCGTGACGTGTACTCCCCCGTGTATAATTACGTCACCCACTGCTCCTTCCTATATTTGTCCACCTTACAGTCATTACTCAGCCACCTCCCTCGTCCCCTCACACTTGCTACCCATCTCCCCCCCCCTCACCTTGACTCCCACCTAACCTCTCCTCCTTCACACCCACTTCCCTCTTACCCTCTGCTCCCTCGCACACACCTCCTTCCTTCGTCATCTCCCTCTCCCTCATTCCCTTTCACGTCATTCACCTCCCTCATTACCCATCACTTTGCGCACTACGCCTCCGTCTCTCATTATATATGTTATTCATACCTTCATCCCTCATTACCCTTGTCTCTTGCTCTCCACTTACCTCATTACCTTTATATCGGTCACACTACCCATCTGTTTTCTCATCATTCTCATGTTTCTTACACTTTTCTCATTATCTCTATATATCATTGTTTACCAGTAACTTTCCTTGTACACTTCGCATTATTCTCTGCCTTCTCCTTCCACTTACATCTCATTCATTCTTTAATCTTTCCAACACTAGTCTTTTCCTCTAGGACTCTTCCCGTCCCACTTGTTTGTTCATCCGTCTGCACTTCCTCCTGGCATAAACCACATTTATTTATTTATATACAAGAAGGTACATTGTGTTAGAGAGAATACATAGCATAGTATTTACAATCTTGTAAAGCCACTAGTACGCGCAGCGTTTCGGGCAGACATACACTAACCTACACTACCCCTGCCCTACCTTCACTACCCCTGCCCTAACTTCACTACCCCTGCCCTACCTTCACTACCCCTGCCCTAACTTCACTACCCCTGCCCCTTCACTACCCCTGCCCTACCTTCACTACCCCTGCCCTACCTTCACTACCCCTGCCCTACCTTCACTACCCCTGCCCTACCTTCACTACCCCTGCCCTACCTTCACTACCCCTGCCCTACCTTCACTACCCCTGCCCTACCTTCACTACCCCTGCCCTACCTTCACTACCCCTGCCCTACCTTCACTACCCCTGCCCTACCTTCACTACCCCTGCCCTACCTTACACTCCTACTCTCCACTCACTCTTACGTCTTTGTAACTATCTTTTGTCTGTCATTTACTCTCAAAAACTATATTTCCTCTGTCAGTTGCTCCCAATCTAGCTCAGTATTCCTTCTGCCGTTCGCTATTGAATAACGTCACACTATTTATGCAACTTTTTACCCTTGCAGTTTACACAATGCTCTAAATGGTTATATAGTAAAATAAAAAATATATTTATAAGTTGCATATATGAGTGTTTTAAAACCTTGAGAGGTACAGTGGTAATGCTAGCCTGTTTAGGCATACCTTTATTACAACAACAATGGAAATGAGCATTGAGCCGGTGTTGTTGTTGAAACTGAAGTTGAACCGCTGATATATGATGAGATACTATAAGAATGAAACGACCAATTAAAAACTTTGCTACGCACTGAGCTTGAGTATGTAGAACAATGGGGAAAGACATGAGAAACAGGTGTGGGGTGTGCAGGCAGCCACAGCCTTCAGCAACCTCTGCTGCAGCCTCCCGTCATATTGTCTGCTAGAGTGGCAGCCTCGCGTCACCAAGCCTCGCATCGCGTGTCTTCCACGATTCCAACACTGAAACATTCTCTCCTAAGTTATGGATCATCAAACAATATGTTACGAAAGTACACATCATCAAAAAGCATTTCACTGAAGCATGTGCCTGGTCACGACTCTTTGAAGATTGTTTCAACAAAAAGTAATTCAAGATACACACCAAAAAATCATGTGCCAATAGAGAATGGATTATTAAGTGATTTTTCTCCACTTAGAAAAGCTGAGAAATATTCATTGCTTCATCATGAAATACCAAGGAATATATTGTCGCGTGATGCTCCTCTACAGGAAAACACCCAAAAAATTGCGCCGAGGCAAAAATCACAAGGAAATATATCAGCAAACTGCCATTTTATAAGACATGATTTGTCAAGAAGTTTTTGGTGTGGTGATGCATCATCCAAGCTTGTGTCTCCTGGCCTCGTATCTCGTGTGATGAAGTTACACAATTTCAATAAAAACCCATCTACCTACACCACCGTTTTCTCCTGGAATATAAAGGTAGACTGCTTCTCTTTGTACATATATATGTGGAACCCACCTTTTGCATCTTTCACTTATTTTATTTGTGTAAGGACACCCAACCCGTAAAATACTCATCAAGGATTATATATATATATATATATATATATATATATATATATATATATATATATATATATATATATATATATATTATATTTTATATATATATATAATATATTTTATATATATATAATATATATATATATATTATATATATATATATATATATATATATATATATATATATATATATATATATATATATTATATATATATATATATATATATATATATATATATATATATATATATATATATATATATATATATATATATATATATATATATATATATATATATATATATATATATATATATATATATATATATATATATATATATATATATATATATATATATATATATATATATATATATATATATATATATATATATATATATATATATATATATATATATATATATATATATATATATATATATATATATATATTAATATATATTAATATATATTATATATATATATATATATATATATATATATATATATATATATATATATATATATATATATATATATATATATATATATATATATATATATATATATATATATATATATATATATATATATATATATATATATATATATATATATATATATATATATATATATATATATATATATATATATATATATAATATGTTTACGAGAGTTTTTGTCGTGTTTCTGTCGTGAACTTGATAAGTTCACTATCGTTGATTATTTTTCAATATAAATAACCACCTTTCTTACCATATTTTTTATATTTAATGAAAAATTGGTCTGCATTCTTCTCGGTTGTTTCTTCAAATATTTGTTGCATAATCTGTGATGTGTGTGATAATTTTCAGGTATGATTTTTAAACTTTTTAGGAATGCTAATTTTTATATAATACTTTAGATAACTTATCTTTTAATAAATGAGCTGTTGTAAACGCCTCTTTTAAAGAGATGTATTGTCTAGAAAGAATTAATATTTTTAAATGTATTGTAAACTGAGAATGGTGGGTCACCACTACCACCATCCCGTGTGGTGATCACCACCACCACCCCGTGTGGTGATCACCACCACCCCGTGTGGTGATCACCATCACCACACACCATTATTGATCACTCTTCCACCATCACGCAACGTCTTGTGTCTTAATGTATTGTTGCTTTCATTTGAAGTTTTATTAACTTAACGTTCTCAAGTATATTACAGATACCGTTGTGTTTTTTATTATTTTTAATGTTTTGTTTACATTTTCTTAGCATGCAATATTACTACTATTTTGCATAGAAAATTTTATTTTTAATATAATATAAAACCCTTATTACATAACAAATTTTTATGAACAAATTTTATTATTTTCTTTTTAAATAGCTGATTGTTATCTTTTAGTTCTTTGTTCTTCCCCAAGTTATGAAAATATCTCAAGATTCCCTAGAAGACCTCAGAGTTCTGTATAGGTCTGTGATCCTTTTTCTTAAATACTTGATGGGTAGTTTAAAATCCCTCCCTGCAATATAGTATGTTAAACCTCATATATATATTTGTTTAAGAATGACTAGGGAAACATTTAAAGTGTTGACATGAGACACCTTGTATATGTGAAGGGCTCAGCCGGAAGCAGCTCCCGTAGCGGCCCAGAGAGTGAAGAAGAGGGCGTGGTGCCGCCTCCTACTCCTCCACTCCTCAATGGACACGCCATAACTAATGGTCTGACGCATCACAGTAAAGAAGATATTTTCTTGGGCGATGACAAATTTAGTGATAGAGAACTACAAAGTGACCATGAAGCATTTACCAAAGAAGATTTCCATAGTTTAGTTGAGGTTTACAATAAGGAGAGCACACCAAAGAGAGAGATGAGAGCCCAGACTCCCCTTAGTGATGAGGACGACCTTGCTGGTGTCAACGTCAAGCAGCTGGTGAGTTATCTTTAGTCTATACCATTTTTGGCTCGATCTCTGCATTATTACATTTGTAGATATTAATATCAAATTGTATAAGTACAAAAGAACATTAGAATAAATGGAACTTCAGAAGGCCTGTTGATCCATATTAGATAGCTCCTATTTATATTATCCCAAAAATGATCCAATAGATGCCTAACCTACGCGTGAAACAATCGAGCGATCCCACCTTTATTATGTTACCCAGTTATTGGCTTCGTAAACAAACTATACCATTTCAGAATCAGTATTTACCCAGATCTTTCCTGTATCTAAACTTATTCAATTTGTTGCTCTAAGCTATTTCTCCTGATTAATGGAATAATATTAAAGTTTACCATTATACATTATCTTAACTCATATGACAGACCGTCCGCCTAAGGTTTCCCAACGTTAAGAAACTGTCGTACTAACGTGCCTTTGACCTAACCTACGAGGGGACCCAAAACAGAAAACGGAACATAATATCAATTTCACGAGCCGCTGCCATTTTCTAGTACGAAGATTTTTGTTCTTAGGTAAAGAATGCGTCAAAATCCGACGCTCTACTAGGAGGCCGGGTTGCATATGATGCAGTAATTTCCAAACTATAGACAGAGTTTGCAATTCAGAGTAGTAATTATCACTGAGAACAATTACTCATTGTATGGATTGAAGTAGCACAGTAAATGTTAAATCTGAGCATCACTCGAGGCTTGTCTGGTAGGCTTTTGTACATTACATAATCAAGTAATTATGCATCTCTCATACTCTACTCTAGTATAATTATATTTATTTAGAGTTGTGTTAAACAACTGCTGAAATTTACTTTGGAAAGTCATGCTTAACAGAGGAATGCATTAAATGAATGTTGACTAATGAAAGTAATGTTGATATTACCACAGAGAGTGTCATATCTGAGTGCCACACGAGACAAGGGTCAGCAGTCAACAAATAATTTCAAGTGTAACTCAAAGCCTGACATCAAGGCTGACCTCAACACAAGTGTCAATATCAGCAGCCTGGTAAGTTATCAATTATTCTAGTCAGGCTTTACGCAACTATAATTTCTAATGTTAATGTCAGTGACTTTAACAACATACTTTTTTATGTGATTCCAGTAACATTTAAGAATTTTCTGTATAAGCTTCCTGGTCCCCCCCCCCCTTTTTTTTTTAACCAATTTCATTTCTGCGTTTCGCCTGTTCTTAATGTTGTGTTATTGTTTCAGTGTTGTTCATGATTTAGGTTTACCAGTGAAGAAATAACTCATAATTGTGATCAAATTTCTGCCAAATATGATACAGAACTGTGTATCCTTAAACTTCACAGAAGTTTGAATATCAACAAATTGTGCAGAATTTCAGCCTTTCCACACAGGAAATTTGACATCTTTGAATTAAGAATGCAAAACATTAAAGATAATTGTGCATACAAAATTTGTAAACAGGATCTTTCCCAGCATTATATTTAGTCAACATACCTATAAACTCCAGCAGTCAGTCAATCCCATAATTTATATTTCCATTTCAAATATAGAACTTAGAAATTGTTACCGAAAACATGATGAATTGCAGGTTGACACATACTCTTCCCCGCACCGTGGAGCTGCGGCCGCCACCAGCCGCCCAGATGACCTCACGCCCATCTCCCTGCGCTCTCTCGTACGTCAGGGGTTGGATTTTTGTTTTGGGCAAGCACACTTTAGAACCATTTTAATATATGTATAGTTCCTTATTGTGGTTGTTGTGTGTCGTGATAACTTGTGGTGGGTGAGGCTATGTGTCCTGATAACTTGTGGTGGGTGGGGTTATGTGTCCTGATAACTTGTGGTGGGTGAGGCTATGTGTCCTGATAACTTGTGGTGGGTGAGGCTATGTGTCCTGATAACTTGTGGTGGGTGAGGCTGTGTCCTGATAACTTGTGGTGGGTGAGGCTGTGTCCTGATAACTTGTAGTGGGTGGGGTTGTGTCCTGATAACTTGTGGTGGGTGGGGTTATATCCTGATAACTTGTGGTGGGTGGGGTTATGTGTCCTGATAACTTGTGGTGGGTGGAGTTATGTGTCCTGATAACTTGTGGTGGGTGGGGTAATGTGTCCTGATAACTTGTGGTGGGTGGGGTTATGTGTCCTGATAACTTGTGGTGGGTGGGGTTGTGTCCTGATAACTTGTGGTGGGTGGGGTTATGTGTCCTGATAACTTGTGGTGGGTGGGGTTATGTGTCCTGATAACTTGTGGTGGGTGGGGTAATGTGTCGTGATAACTTGTGGTGGGTGAGGCTATGTGTCCTGATAACTTGTAGTGGGTGGGGTTATGTGTCCTGATAACTTGTGGTGGGTGGAGTTATGTGTCCTGATAACTTGTGGTGGGTGGGGTTATGTGTCGTGATAACTTGTGGTGGGTGGGGTTATGTGTCGTGATAACTTGTGGTGGGTGGGGTTATGTGTCGTGATAACTTGTAGTGGGTGGGGTTATGTGTCCTGATAACTTGTGGTGGGTGGGGTTATGTGTCCTGATAACTTGTGGTGGGTGGGGTTATGTGTCGTGATAACTTGTGGTGGGTGGGGTTATGTGTCCTGATAACTTGTGGTGGGTGGGGTTATGTGTCGTGATAACTTGTGGTGGGTGGGGTTATGTGTCCTGATAACTTGTGGTGGGTGGGGTTATGTGTCCTGATAACTTGTGGTGGGTGGGGTTATGTGTCCTGATAACTTATGGTGGGTGGGTGAGGTTATGTGTCCTGATAACTTGTGGTGGGTGGGGTTATGTGTCCTGATAACTTATGGTGGGTGGGGTTATGTGTCGTGAGAGCCTATGATGGGTAATTACCTAAGTGTAGTTACAGGATGAGAGCTACGCTCGTGGTGTCTCGTCTTCCCAGTACTCTTTGTCATATAACGCTTTGAAACTACTGAGGGTTTTGGCCTCCACCACCTACTCACCTAACTTGTTCCAGCCCTCTACCACTCTGTTTGCAAAAGAAAACTTTCTAATATTTTTTTCGGCATCTTTGTTTCCATAGCCTGAATCTGTCCTCATGTTCCTGAAGTTGCTAGTTTCAGGAATTCGTCTTTGTCATTTGGGTAGATTCCTGTTAATGTTTTGTATGTGGGGATCATATCACCTCCTTTTCTTCTATCTTCTAGTAACTATCCATAGTAAGTTATCTCCTCGTAACTCTTGTTTTTTCAGTTTCGAAAGCTATTTTGTAGTATGCCGGTGCACGTTTTTCAGTTTCTTTATGTGCATCTTGAGATTTTGACACCATACTACTGCTGCATATTCCAATATTTGGTCTCAATACCTGTCGACACCAGACAGGCCAGTCTGTGGCCTGTCAGTGATATAATGTCCAACAGCCGGATGAGCGACAGAGCCTGATATGTAGCTTCAGTACCGCATCCCTATCCAGGGGTATATATGGTATCGTGGAGGCAATGGGACCACAGAACTGAGACCACGTACCAAAGATAAATTCAAAACATGCCCATGCACCCAGCTCAGGGTCCAGATACATGGAATTCAATATTTATAAAGAAATGCAAGGGACCAGTAGCACATGCACTCGGTATAGTGTGGAGGAAGAGCTTGGACATGGGACGATACCAGATGCACTTAAATCAGCAGACATGACCCTCTACACAAGGGAGGTAGCAAAGCATTGGAAAGAATTATAAACCAGTCGCACTAACGTCCCACATAATAAAATTATTTGAGAGAGTGATCACGAGTCAGGTCATCAGTTTCATGGACACCAATGACCTTCATAACCCAGGCCAACATAGATTTGGAGCAGGAACATCGTGCCTCTCACAGCTACTTGATCACTACGACAAAGTCACTGAGGCATTAGAAGAAAAACAGAATGCAGATGTGGTATACACGGACTTCGCAAAGACATTCGACAAATGTGACCATCGAGTGATAGCATACAAAATGAGGTCAGTGGGAATAACTGGTAAAGTAGGACTCCGAATACTCAGTTTTCTGTCGAACAGAACACAGAGAGTAACAGTCAACCAAATCAAATCGAGTCCAAGCGCAGTTATAAGCTCTATACCTCAGGGAACAGTCCTTGCACCAATGCTTTTCCCTTTCCAGATACTGTATAGACAAAAATACAAGTCACAGCTTCGTATCATCCTTTGCAGATGACACAAAAATCAGCATGAAAATTACATCTGCTGAAGACATTGGAAAACTTCAAGCAGATATTAATAAAGTTTTCGACTGGGCAACAGAAAATAACATGATGTTTAACAGCGATAAATTCCGGGTACTCAGGTAAGATAAAAATGAAGACCTTAAACATAATACAGGGTACAAAACACAATCAAATCTGGCCACAGTAGGAAAGCAGCATGTAAAGGATTTGGGAATAATGATGTCTGACGACCTAACGTTTAGGGAGTATAACCAAGCAAATATTGTGTCAGTCAGAAAAATGATAGGATGGATTACGAGAACGTTCAAATCCAGGGATCCCATCACAATGGTTGTACTCTTCAAATCACTTGTGTTGTCCCGTCCTGAGTACTGCTCAGTATTCGCTTCCCCCTTCAGAGCAGGAGAGATTGCTGAAAATGAGGGAATACAGAGAACATATACGGCATACATAGACGCGATTAAGCACCTATATTATTGGGATCGTCTCAAAGCTCTCCAAATGTACTCGCTAGAAAGTTGACGAAAGAGAGATATCGAATACGTGAAAAATGCTGGAGGGCCAGGTCCCAAATCTACACAGTAAAATAACAACGTACTGGAGTAAACGATATGGAAAAAAATGCAGGATAGAACCAGTGAAGAGCAGAGGTGCCATAGGCACAATCAGAGGCACCATCCTCTCCTCCATCTCCAGTACCCACCCTCTCCCCCACCAGTACCCACCCTCTCCTCTACCTCCTTTACCCATCCTCTCCTCCACCACCAGTTCCCACCCTCTCCTCCACCACCAATACCATCATAAGTTAATATAACATAGTTAGTGTACTGGCAAAGTTAATATGGCAGAGTTAGTGTACTGGCAAAGTTAATATGGCAGAGTTAGTGTACTGGCAAAGTTAATATGGCAGGGTTAGTGTACTGGCAAAGTTAATGACAGAATTAGTGTACTGGTAAAGTTAATATGACAGAATTAGTGTACTGGCAAAGTTAATGACAGAATTAGTGTGCTGGTAAAGTTAATATGACAGAATTAGTGTACTGGCAAAGTTAATATGGCAGAGTTAGTGTACTGGCAAAGTTAATATGGCAGAGTTAGTATACTGGCAAAGTTAATATGGCAGAATTAGTGTACTGGCAAAGTTAATATGGCAGAGTTAGTGTACTGGCAAAGTTAAATTAATATGGCAGAGCTTCACTAACTTGCCAGTTAGTGTACTGGCAAGTTATGCAGAAAAAGTCTTGGGTAAAATGAGAATCTCTTGAATGCTTAAAAGATTAAAGGTGTTGGGAATCTTCATTTCAAGTGCTGTATTTTGTTCACTCGCAGTCATTGGGGGCACTTCAGGGGATCATTATGCTAAAATATAATAAGTACCATATTCTAAATGGATTATTTGTTATGCTATAATAACATAATGTGCTAGATGAACAGAATAACACATTTCTGGAAATTATGGGAAGGTCACATTGTATAACATTTTATTCCCTTTTGTGGTAGCACGTGTGAGATAAGATATGCATGGAGGGCTTCCTGCTCAAAGTAGTATTATCACTGCTATCAGTTATGCTCACTGCCGCCTCCTCTCATTGTTTCCTACCACCACATTTATCATAGATATATCTGGCACACTCAAGAGTGACAGCCAGTGTCACCTAACATTCATCCACTGTCAGGTGTTGGACTGAATCCTATTTTTGTTAGTTGTGAATATGAAGTTATATCTTAAATTTCCTGCTACGTGTTAATTAATTCAGCAGGGAATATCTTAATGAGTGCTGAGGTACTGGATAAAGAAACCCAGTATTGGTGAATGCACTTTGTCATAACAAGAAAATTGTTCAATGGCCGATTCATAACGTATTCATAAATAAATATATAACCAGCATTTTCAAGGAGGTGGCGTCGACCCAAGCTGGTATATGATACAACAAGAGAGTGGTCGGGGTGCTCACTGTCCAGAGGACTTGTTTTTCAAAGTGTGTGTTTTTCCTGCATTCTGAGACAGGAATGGGACAAGGCTAATTGCACAGACTTTGAACATGAATTTATTTTTAATTTAAGGTAACATAGACTGAAGTAGTGGGTATCAGTGTAACATCTGCTCCCGCTGTAACCATAGATAGCAGTGACATATTTTACTAAAATACTGAAGAAAATATATATAAGATGCCATAAGTAGAGATGACATACAGCAGTGGTGATCGACACCGTCTGGATAACATTACCAGAATATTATGACAAGGCTAATCAGATGCAAGATCTTATTGTTGTTAATGATGCCACCACTCCTTATAAACATAGTGATTCTGGTAATTACAGTTGGATGCAGTGAGCAATTCCTCTCTGGATCACCACACTAAGGCGCTGAAAGAGAAAATTGGCGACTCTGGGGTTTCTAGTTGTTTCAGTTAGCTTGGACCCCAGCTCCTTAAAAAAACTAGCAGCACTTTTACCCTAGGCACCAAGTGTCTCTGCGGCAATGGGGACAAAATTGT